CCAAGTCCACGTTCTAATGCTTGATAGTCACTGGAACATATTCAGTAAATTGAATTTCCAACTCTATTTGTTCAATCGAGTCCATTGAGTAATAGGGATAATGTGAGTTTCCCGTAAATTTGGCTCCAGATTTCGCTCGCTTTACTGAAGTGAAGCTCCGCGCTACTTTTCCAACTGGGCTCTGGAGGTTTCCTCAGCCGTCAAAACGCTTCTTCGTAACCTTCAGTGGTGCACGACACTTTTTCATTTCAAGTTCAGTGATTAAATGTGAATTTCGTTTTTTTAAAGATGTGGTGATTTGATATTGGCGGTGAATCAGTACCCCCTGACCGACGTCTCTCATGCCCACGCTGTAGCACTGCTCAAGCACTGTGTCGGCGATGTTCATATTCGTGTGGTGTCCTGGCCCGGAACAATCGTTTGAGCGCCCAAAATCAATAAATCTAAATTGAATTTGCTTTAGAATCTGACATTCTTCCGCACTCATTCACCCACAATCAAATGTCATATCGCCCTCTCTTCTGGGTTTTTCCTTACATCTTTCCCTCCACCCTCCCCTCCCCCCCCCCTTGGCCAATTTCTTTTGAATCTCCCTTCGTTTTCTTCCTCTCCATTCTTTTTTGTTCTTTCATTGACTGCAAACCTCGTGCTGGAATGCGGTGTTGAAACAATTTGTCTCGCAAATGGGCCTTTAACTGCTTGCATTATGCTGCTACTTCTATTACTATTATTATTATTATTACAATCAAGAGTTCTTCGTCGCAAGTGACCACTGAGCTTTCTTTCGATTTGGATGCTTGGTTGGATAACAAGGATATCTGCCACGATTATTGTGTAGTAGTGCAAATACAAAGCCCAAACATTTTATGTTGAGAAGTATTGGGAAAAAACACAAAGTTAATATCAATAGAACTTCTTTAACACCTCGACTGATTTGAGCCAATAATCTTCGCATGGACTGATAGGAAGGGAGTTGTCTTTTGCCTAACCAGAAGAGTAGAAGGGAAAGATTTACAGTCGAATTGGAAATCGGGGTTGGGTTAGCGAGTAGGAGTGAGCGGGAGTGAAGTTATAGTAATGACACTTGCACCTCGAATAAGTAACCAGTAAAAGGCCATTGCGTTAGCGCTATGGCATTGCAGAACAGCCTGGTCAACTAGAGTGACGGTCTGCACATTACACAAAATGAGGTCAGTTTCTTAGGGCTAGCTAAATTCGACACTAGGCCAAAGTAGCTTTGAAGTTAGCGATTCCCAACGGTTACCCCTGGCCACACACCATACTCGTCTGCACTTGCGATAACACCGCAATTTGCAACTTGACAGTTGGTCGAACAAAGAACTGTCATCGGCTTTTTGAGGCCAAACAACAACTCTATGTGGACGACTGTAACTGCAATAACTGGTGACCCCATATAGTACAGGTAGAAACTTGACTTTTGCATTTTTTGGTTGAGTGCCATCTGCTGTCTAGTATCACCCCAGCGTAACCTCCACGATGCCACCAGAATGGAGAAAGAAGACAGGACAGTGGCGATCGGGATTGATTTAGAGTGGATTAAGAAGGGGAGTGCGTCAGTTGATGTAATGCTCGTTTACAAGTCCAATACGCCCGTAAACGGAACATCGCTCACTCGAGGCCCGCCTAAATGATTTAACTAATCGAAGAACTTATGAGCCCATGACGAGTCTAGATTGGAGCACATAACAAGGAAGCAAGCCCAACAAATGCTTCGTGAGTTCAAGATATTTGGGTCAGATAATCTTAAGTTAAGAAAAATCAAATGATCTTGGTCGCTACAAGCTAAATAATCAATGGAAAACGTTAATTGACTGGAAGTAATTATAACACTTTTACCACAGGCGCGGAATAATAAGATGAGCTTAAATTTCTTTTCTTGAAATTCATGTCTGTGTACAACTTTAAAATTGCTTCAACCTATTTTCAATTCAGAATAATTTGTTATCATCCAAAATTTTGCCCAAATATCTACTCCCGACCCTTGACTCAACCCCCCCCCCTCCGGTTGCCTTTTCATATTGCTGCCATGTTTAATCTAAAAGTATACCTGCACTTATATCCTCAGGCATCAGCTTGTTCAACTAATTCATATAAAATCTCCACATTTCCCTTTCGCAAACGCCCGCGCTTATCCACTAGTGCGGTTCCAACCCCATCCCCCTCCTTTCTCTTTCATACACGCACCCCCCCCCCCCCCCCCCCTCTTCTAATCTATCTCAGTTATTTCACATTCAATCGCGTTTTTAAGCCTGTGATATAACGAATTTTGGTTCGCACACAGCTCTTGGTCTTCTATTTGGCCTGGGACTTGGTTGTCTTCTGTTAGTGATGTCGTTTTTTTGTCACTACAGCAAACCGATTATTCAATGTTTCCACTTCTGATCAATAATTTCTTCTACCGCAGCCACTTCGTCAGTTCTGAAGAGCAATTTTCTCATTCTTCTACTAAGTTAGCGACGTATCCACCTCTTAAAAATAATTGGACAATAAAAGATTAATTTGTAGTTAAGTGATCTTTCAATATTTTAACAAAAGAGTCTGATGAGTGGCAATATATAAGGCCTAAGTCGCTGAAATTCTTTATGATTCGATTTGATACATTTGCTAGCATGATTTTGCGAAACTAAGTAGAAGTAATTCTTCTTTTTCGAATCTCTTTTATTGTAGGTAGCCTTAATAAAGCTTATATTTTAGTAGTATGAATTACACCGATTAGTTGGGTTTCATATTACTAGAAGTGTGGAGTAAACAATCCTTAATGCGACTCAGCCGTGACCCAATCTCCCCCCCTGTCAACGTCAAATTTTATTTCGCACAACACTGTCACCATTTCGTCAACTCGCCCCTTTCATGCTCTCCTTCTGGCACAGAGTGACTTCGGAAACAGATTTCAACGTGACTGCATCGGTTGTCCCTACCTATCATCTCACATTCCACCCAACAAACCCTCATATTCGGTTAGGGCAACTGGAAAATATTCTTAAACTACGAGGTGAACAGCAAACTCTGTTTTTGTACATTAACACTGTTTTAGGCTAGACTAGAAGCATGGACCCCAGTAACGAAGGGTGGCTGCTGTGAGGTAGGCACGAGTAGGTAGTAGCCAGAAAAATCTGATTCTCACATCCACGTGGTTCTGGGTAGTAACGTCCGTTTCCTGCGTTCATATTGGCAGCTCAATGAATCAGCTGCAGCAACAATACGAGAAGTGACTGCAGTGTATAGGGCTCTAAGCAGAATTGGCCAGCCAATCAGCCAAATTTACTTCCATAGCTGTACTTGAAGAAATCAATGTGAAATGGATATTGATAAAACTGAGTTTGATAGTTTTCGAGGTGGCAATAGGGAGTTATGGGTTTTAATTTAACCATTTAGTGAGTGCTTGATGCTACTCATTTTATACTTTACTGTCAAAATTTACGTATTGTTGAGGAAGTTTAAGAGGCTCTATTAAGGAGTTTCGATTTTAAGAACGACATCCACCCAGTGTACTTTGATTATTCCTTTTATTCATTGACTGTAGTTATAAAATGGAAGATGGAAATTGAATAAATTAAGTGGGGAATACACTGTGTCGATTAGTATATTAGTATATATCGAGAGGGAAAGATATTGGAAGTTTGATATAATATACCTTTATGTTAAAACACAAGTTTTCCCTGAATGGCCATTAAAGGAAAATAAAGTAGGCTATTGGGATGAAATTTTCTTCATCAATTTCAGAATGTCATGTCACTATTTGGCATATCCTGAAAGCGCTGAATGCATCACAATGGCCTACTATATCTTACTCATATATAGATCAAGATGGAATATAATTTTATTTGTATAGTTTATTAAATATCTATTCTTAAATATAAACTAGAAGCGAAAGCCTATATTGCATCACTTGAATGACCTCAAATAGCAAAATTTACGACACAAAATTTAAAAGATATATCTTTACGAAGAGATAAATCATTAAAATATGTCAAGGATGACGAATGTGCTCATTCATTATTCCTCGCAGTAGCAATACCTTTCGCCTTACCGAATGAAAAATAACCAAAAATATTGTCCTCATTAAGTATTTTCAAAACATAAAAAATTAAATGGCTAGAAATAACTGGAGTTCTATTAAAATATCAATTTGAACAACTTTGCATTCGTCGGGATGGCATCTTAAAATTGATGTCTCGCAATTTTGATCCAATAATTAGAATGAAAAAACACAAACGTAATTTTGTGTATATTTTGCAACATGTTAATTAAATATGATTCCCATTCTCTTTTAAATTCGATAAAGCATTTGGTTTTGTTCAGCTTACTTAGTTTGGCAAGATTTGTATATTTCTAGGTCACCTCGATGCTATTAATTAATCGCTCTTGATGTAGAGTATGTCCTTGTGCTTGTTAATTTAGTTTTATTTCACTGGAAACATTCGGATGCGTATTGATTATCCAGTTTTTAACACATCCGACAACTTTATCACCACTTGATAAGATTGTCTTTGTTAGTTGTAAAAAGTCACTTTAAAACTTCATTCAAAATATTCATCTCACTTTTGCCGACTTTATTATTCATTGTTTATCATATGCGTTTGATATATATATATATATATATATATAACTTTATGAAGGATTATTTTTTCGGATGTATTTCTGTGGAAATTATAGCAATTAATATCAAAATGCTGACTTTATTAATGCCTATTTCATTTTTTTCATTTTAGAAAATACTCATGAGTTTCTTACGTATTTTATCAACAAGAAAATTGATCTTAGCTTTGCTTTTAACATTGGTTGTATCGTATATGTCATTTTCATTTATCTACTTGCATTTATGGACTGATTACAATCAAGGTATGCTTTAATTTACCATAAATTCCAACTTAATACTTTATATAGATTCTTATGGCGTCTTTTTTAATGCAATATCTAAGCATCAACCTATCAAAATTTTGCCATCCAGTGACAGGTTGGCTGCAGAAATTCGAGAAATGTATAGTATTCACGCCTCCCTTCAGAATGAACTTCTTCTAACAGAACAATCCTGTCGATCTCTTATTAAAGCCAAAACCGAGCTTGAAAACCAAGTTACTAAATTACGAAATGATCTAGCTATAGCGGAACGTGATTTGCTTCGGCTGCAGACATCCATAGACTCCTATCAAATACCTCTCTCTAATTTTTCTTTCCGACAATCTTTTTTACCTATTTCGTTTTCTCTTCCTTTCACAGAATATTCGACTCATGTTGGTTGCACAATGCATACCTGTTTTAATTGGACTGCTTGTCGTCTTCATTCTCATAAGTATTTACGAGTTTGTTTTAGTCATGGAAGTGTTGTAGGCGATCATCAATTGCACTATGCTCTTCTCAGATCTCCTCACTATTCAACTTCCTGCAGTCAGGCTTGTTTGCGAATTATTTTCTCCCCTGTAACTTGTAATTCTACTTCTTGTTTGTACATTGGTCCTCCAACTAACTCTCTTCCTCCCAACGTAATTCGTGCATCCCCCATTTATTCAAATAATTTCTTATTCCGCCCTGGTTTTGATCTCATCATCGCTCCTTTTGGAAATAGGTCAAATGATTCTCTTCTTCCTATGATTGTACGGAGGGAGACAAAGTGGTTGCTAGGTGCCTCCTTAGGGACTTCTAACCATTCTGAATTAAATGCTTCATTCCTAGCAGATTTGAATTCTGGTATCGGAAAAGACGATCTGGTAAATATTAATCTCGGAACATCTTCTGATGGATGTCTTAAAAACTTTGGAGGTGATAATTTTACTCTTTGGCGACCTTGTGATGACGCCAGCTCTATCCTGAGTGCTTCCACCTTCTGTCTCCTGATTGATAGTATTCTAGATAATGTTCAAGTTTATACAACTATTGGAGAACAGTTGGTCGCATGCCTGTGTAATGCCGCAATTCCTGTCTTCCTCTCTCGTGGTGGGGGAATAGAATCTCGTCTCTTCCCCTTTTGGGAAATTCTAGATTCAAAATGGCGTAAGGCGGTTGTTTTTCTGCCTCGCCGCAGACTTCCACATCTTGTTACTGTTCTCAGGAGTATTGATGAGAATACACGGGTTGAGATGCTACTTCAGGTAACTATCAATTTGATCTAGTTGAATACTTGCCTTGTGTAGGGTCAAGAAATCTGGAGAAAGTATCTAAGTTCCACGGAGGCTCAATTGGCTACAATCTTCCTAACTCTGAGTGGACGGCTAGGACTGCCCCAACCGCCTGCACCTCTTTATAGATCAGCACCAGCTTTAAGTTCTGGACGTTTTCAACCTGAAAGGCTCTATCAACCAAGACCTGAAGTCCTGGCTCAAGTAGATGTTGATGGATTGTTGGGTCCAATTGGACCGAAGTGGGACTCTCCTCCACAATCTTCGTTTGGACCGTTTTTAGCAGCATTGGGATCGTTGAAGATCGATCAGTTCTGGACCCATATTAATACTCCCTGGAGCTCACCGTTACTTCCAACGGAATTCCAATTCATCAACGGTTAGTTTGTTCGCAATATTTAATGGCATTGCTTATCGTTTTAGCTTGTTGTGCGTGGTGCTTAATAGCTATTGAAATGTAAACTGAACCGCGAAGTTAGTCTAGTCAATTAATTTTTTTACTCATTCCAAGAGCAAAACAGTTAAATATAGCTAAAATGCCTCCATTTTCTTTTATGTTTGTCTTGAGGCTATTTTTGCGCGTAATTAGGTGTTTTTTAAGATGTTCCTAATTCATATTTCACCAGGCATTAGTCATTATCCAAGCTTGTGTTCATTAAAACTTACGCCATGAAAATCCATTCGTAGTCTTGATCTATAGCTTTGTTAGTTTGCGTTTTCGTTGGAAAGTGCTGGTCATTGTTATTTAATTGTTTATTTAATCAACATACCAAAGAACCCCTCAGTATATATAGGGCTTCCAATGAATGGACGTCCAAGTATTTGGTGTCGTTAATGTTGCATTTTAATCATGGTAGCTTTCGATGTATTTGCATTTTTAGCTCATAGTCTTGTAGGCGGATAAACCACCACATGCTAGAATTCGTCTTATTCATGCCGAATTGTCAGTTAACACACCAGCATTGGGGTGTTTTGTTGTGTGATAGTCATTTAAAATTTGCATTGAAATTTGCCCGCCATTAGAACCTAATAAGGTGATTCCTCGAAATCTCTAGTGGAGATTGCAGTTGAAATCCTCTGATCTCTTTGAATTGAAAGCTTCTCCCTTGTGTGGTGGTGTGGTTTAGGGGGTTACAATGATTCATCTCTCCTGGTATTCATTAAAAAATTCGCAATTTCTTGGATCCATTTAGTTTAGTGAGCATATTCGAATATTTACATACATATATATATATATATATATATATATATATATGTTGGACTCTCAACAACTCTTTCTCTAATTTGTAAAATACGAATGTCCTTTTTTTCCTTATTCTTTTAGTCATGAATGCCAGTAACTATCGTCCAATCAATCACAGTGTCGGGATGGCTGGAAAGGAATTTGCGGCCAATATTGGCGGAATGCATCCCTACGAGCAGTTCACTAGTAATACTCGCATTTATTCCCCCCCCCCCCCCCCCCTCCCCTTCCAGCTCCTCCTTTTAATTGATCGATTTAATGCGTCTACATGAAAGGCACAATTTACAAGAGCCATTTTTTGCTACCTGCCTCATGGCGACCGCAGTGGTACCAAAATAGGTTATCTGGAGAGAAGTAATAAATTGGGAGGGAAATGCATTTCATTTCTCTCTGTCCTTTGCCTATCCCTATTTGTGGACTTGAATGGGAATAACTTTTGAGCCAATTTTAATTGCAATAATCGCACTTTCCATTTCAGTATTCGAACTCTTATCGTTTGATAAAGTAGCAGAGAATATTTAAAATATACGACAATGACATAGCTGCCTTCTCTAGTCGCCAAGAGTGCTGATTGAATTGTGTAGAGAGATAGCAGAATGTTTTCTTTTGTTGTCATCAGAAATGCTTCGACTTCAAGTCAATGACTTTGGAGGATTGAAGGCTTAATTCCAGTGGAGGTAAAGCAGACTCAGATCAGTCTGGCTCCTGAATTTGAATTGTTGCGGTTTTGAGAAATTCACACAAATTGTTCTTCAAACTTTGATTTCTGCCTCTATTTTATTTTCTCCTTTTTAGTTGTCGTTTTAACTTACGATCGGGATAGCATTTTGACATTGATGCTAGAGGGTCTTCTTAACTTAGCCTATCTTCATTCCGTTGTGGTAATCTGGAATAATCCCAAACCACCATCGGAAAGCTTGCTCTGGCCCCGCCTTCATGTTCCTATCCAGGTAAGCCCGAAATAATCTGAGTAGTCTACTATAATCGTATTCAGTCTACATGATTTTCATCTCTTGGATGATCAATATTAGGTTGTTAAAAGTGAGAAGAACAGCCTGAATAACCGATTTCTCCCTTACGATGTCATCAAAACTGAGGCTATTCTTATGCTTGATGATGATGTTACGCTTCGACATGATGAGATCATTCTCGGTTTCAGGTGAGGCATATCTGAAAATAGGATTTTCGTTAAAAAATGCACGAAATTAGTGTAAAATTTCGCATCCGATTTTATAGGGTATGGCGAGAAAATCGCGATCGTATTGTTGGGTTCCCAGCCCGAGGTCACTTTTGGTCTGCTGCTAATCAGAGCTGGTACTACAATAGTGCTCATGCATGTGAATACTCAATGATTTTAACGGGCGCATCTTTCATTCATCGGGTAAGTACTTCATCTCCTTTGATCGTAACTACTTATTTTTGATTCAGTATTATCTACATGCCTATACCAACGAGATGCCTGCTCAAATTAGGGAAATTGTTGAACAGAAGTTTAACTGTGAGGATATCGCTATGAACTTCCTGGTTTCGCACATAACACGAAAGCCCCCTCTAAAAGTAATTTGACACATTTGTCCTTGAAGTTGGCAATCGCGCCTTCGATTGGCTTAAGTCTTTTTTGGTTTTAGGTAACGACTCATTGGTCTTTCATTTGTACCAACTGTACATCAACTCTGTACAACGGAGGGTCACATATTGCAGTTCGATCTGAGTGTATAAATCAATTCGAGAGGATCTATGGATATAATCCCCTGATTTATACTCAGTACCGGGCCGATTCGGTGCTGTTTAAAACACGACTTCCGCTAGGAATGGAAAAATGCTTCAAATATGTTTAGGAATCGTCATTAAGATGCTTTTTTATCTGGTGCCTAAAAATTGACTAAAAATAATTTGCGAAATTTTTAAATTTTTGTGAATAGGACGTTTTATAACAAATTGTGCTGATGACTTCGTTTAAATGTTCAACGATTCCAGGGGCGTGTTATTCTTTATGAACCAATTTACTTTAACCTCAATAAGTGTAATGTTTGGTTTTTTCATTGATTTATGGCCCCGGTTGGATTCAGTAGTGACCGCTGAAAGAAGCCCAAGATAATTGAGTTAATATTATGCCGTAAAGCTTACAAAACACTTGATATTGTATAGGATAGAGAGTCATTAATTGTCACTTACTATGACTATCAAAATGTACAGTCATACGTTTTAAAGTTTCCTGATAATACTGCCCCAGGAAAATAATGTAAGGGGGTAGTCCAGCAAGTTACAAGTTAATCAATCCTGCAATGAAGCACGGAATAACAGTATGACTTAGCTATTTAAATCAAAGTATTGATTGCCAAACGAAGATTTTATTCGAGACATTTAATACTGAAAAGGAGCAATTAGGACGAGATATACGCCTGTGTTGAATTCCAATTGGCTGTATAACTAGTTAAAGTCGAATTATATCGAGGGCCAGTTTACAGCGTTTTTAGAATACGTGCTTTATGCTCATTTTCCGCCTTCCCTGTGCATGATCCATGAATATTTATAAATATTAAATAGAATGTTGTAGTAAGGCAAAACTGTTTTATCCTTATCACAAATATCGAATGCATATTTCGGCTCACAAGCGAACAGATCGAATAAAATTTACATGCCTTATATTATTTACCTTGGGGTGAGGTAGATTTACCTCCACGTTGTGCAACATGGGTAACATTTACTCATCAGGCAAAAAAGTCTATATACCGGCAGTTGACTTCTGATTTCAAACTACCATGACCCCACTGTATTTTATGTTTACCACTTCTGCAGTACTCACCTTTTTTACGTTTGTGAATCGCTCTTCTGTTCTTCCCCCTCTCGGCTTTTTTGGTACTTTGATGTCCCTCCCATTTGTGAAGCCAGAAGTCGATTAAAAAGCTAATGATAACTTTCATAAAAACTGTCAGTTTATATAAAAACATATTTCTATCTTAGCTATGAATATATATGATAACTCAAGGGTAAAAATTGTGAATAAAATGACCGTTAGAAGTATTTGGCATCTCAACTCCCCTTTAAAACTATGATGAACATATAATTATGTCAAGAACTGGGCCTGATTCGTATACCACAATAAAAAATATAACTTACTTGATAAAAACTTAATAACTTGGACAAATCAATATTTAATTTTTGTATTTATTGTTTTATAATAAAGTTAAACTCGACTCATTTTGATGATTGATTGCGACTGATTAATATGTACACGCTTTTATTTCTTTAACTGAAAACAAAAAAATATTAATTTCAAATTTATGAATATTATCATATAAAATTGCTGACTATGGGGGTTAGAACTACGAGTTGTTTAATTCTATAAATAAAAGTTGGGAAACAGTAAATCTTGGGTCGGCTGGTGAGGGGTCGTTTAGCGTTTTTTGTCTATGGTATTTACTCCAAATGTGCATTAAATACTCATTAAGAGCATGAATATCGACATTTTGTTTTATTTTTCTTTAAAAGGTGTGTTAACACCCCTGCTCTTTGTATTGCCGATAGCGAGAAATGTACAAAATTTATTCGAACTATTACTCTTTTAGGAAGTATTTCTTTGTGAACAAAAATGGCAGATTCACCAAATCGACCACGACCAGAGCAGCGACCCATTATTGCACCCCAACTTATAGCCGTAAGTTCCACTGCTAATACCGCACCGCCTTCTGGAAATGTTGCTCCAGTTGCTCGTCAGATGACTCCACTAATAGTTCGCACAACTGCAAATGCAGCTGCCCCAAATATTCATCGAAATCTAGTCCTTATTCGTCCTTCAACTGTTGCATCTATAGCCAGTAATGCTTCTAGAGTTATAGTTCAGCAGAATACTGTTCAACAAACCAGACAGATTCTGCCTCAAGCTGCTATTTCTCAGTCATCTGTATCTTCATCTTCTTCCTCACCAATTATTACAGCCACTTCTCCCTCGCCGTCTACTTCACCTTCTGGCAGTCAGCAAGTTGCGCAACCTAAAATGACAGCTAGAGCTGCACTGCTTCAAAAAGCCTCCATTCCTTTGCCAGTGCCAAATAAAAACGTCCCTCGTTCTTTTGAACTGCGATATAGGGCTATTCCAGGGCCTAAACCGAGGGATTCTCCGTCGAATGTCGCTGAAGCTGCGGCCCGTCTTCGTACGTCGGGTCAAGATGATAGTGAAGCACTCAAAGGAGAAGTTGTCAAAAGAATGCAGGTGTGTTGGAAAATTTATTTGACTTATTTGCCCTCCTGTTGATTTAGACAAAGCATAGCTATTTTTCTGCCTTTGGTCATTTTTTCATTGCCTCGAGCTTAGATTTATGTATTCATTTTTGTGGTTTCTTACCACGTTCGCTATTTTTACATTTACGGATACGTGCGTATTGTTAATCATCAAGCTCAATATTTAGTTTATAAAATCTTTGCAAGTATACCTGCCTCTTACATATATACGCCTATTTACTTCATTCATTTTTAAGGTATTAGTGTTCATTTTCTTATTCATCACACTGTGCTAAACGATTCCTTTTTCCTAATTAATTTTATGGGTGCTGTATTTTTTCTATTGAAGTTTTATCGGTGGATCCTTTTGTCCCCCTCTGGCTACTGAATAAAACAATTTAATTAATGTTTGAAAGTGTGCTAAATCGCTTGAACGGGAGTTAGATTCGGAATGAAAATCTTCGTTGGTTTTTTCACGCTTGGGTGCATAAATTCTTTTGAAAATCCTGAAAATAGCGAATTTTGTTTTTATGTCGGTAATCTATTAGCGCTCTGAATAATATTAACATATATGCGAGTCTATTCACATATCTATTAAGTCAAATTTCAGGCTATTTGTTAAAGAGTGATTGCTGAATTTCGAGACAGAATTTGTTGTTAAATGAAAATTTTCACCCTTTTTCAATTATCTATTTTGTACAAATTTATCTGCTCCATTGACTATTTGTCCAAAGTTTTTAGGGTCTTCTAAAGTCTAAGGAGCTATTAATTAGCTAAATATTTGCCACGTTCGGAAAGCAATTACAAATGGACTTTGATAATGGTGTATATTTATTTATGTCAAATGGCAGGCGTTTTGATAGCTATTATTAGCCCTTTAATTGACTCCAGGCTTCACAGAGGGAGGAGGAACATCAAAGCGAAAAAAGTCGAGAGGGGGGTGGCAGAAGAGTGTTTCTAAGATGTAAAAGAGATAGACACAAAGGTAGAACAAAGGTGAGGTTATTACTGTGGAAGTAGTCGAATATGGCATACAGTGGGGTGATGGTAGTTTGAAGTCCGATGTCAACTGCCAATTAGACTTTTGCGGTATTAGTATACGTTGCCCAGGGTGCACCACGTGGAGGTAAGTCTATTGCAATTAATGGAAAGAGTTCGACTTAGTAAAGTAGGATTCTCCAGAGATGGTTTTTGTTATTTTTATCTCTTTGCTAAGACCTTCTGAAATGAGATATTTGATTTGTAGTTGTATAGCTCTTGGGCTGAAATTTACCTCAGTGCCAATTTACACAGACGATAATTTACTTTCAACAAAAAAGTTTGATAAAACAGAAGAAAACGATCCTCTATGAGTGTGCTCACTTTTGTAAGATTTGGTAACTGTGTCATCCCCACCTGTAATAGCTGAAGCTTTGTTCATCGACTTGGTCTGCAAAGCAAATCAAACTAGTTTGGCTTGCGTATTAATTGAGTTAGGGGGTTACTGCAAGAAGGCATTTACTCAATGCTATGAGAAACTCCGATAATTAATATTAGTAATTAAAAAAATAGAAACGCTCGTCACTGAAATATTTTAAGTTAGAATCGGGTATTGGCAATCTCGTCAACTAGTGGTTGAGCAGGTATCTGCGTGTGAATTAGCATGAAAATCTAGAATTTGGCATATATTTAACTACAATCCACGTTACTTTACGGGGAAGTAGGCATTGTGACAAGATGCTCTTTTCCTCTCACTATTGGACTTTTTAACACTTCTTGCTCCACTGTGGTATCATTCTTATTCATATGCATTTTTCTCCTGTCCTGCCCTGCCTAACCGCTTTTCTACTTTAAATCATCCCATTTCGCAGTTACAAGCGTTATTTGTAATGGAGACTGAGGTAAAAGGCCTAAACTGAAAATTCTAAATAACCGTTATCTCTACCAGCTGGTTAGAGAGCGCATCATGAGAAGCCTAATGATCGCCAAAATGTTCTCAGTTCCTGGGTGATGGTAAATAGGTAAGGAAGAAATTTGTAAACAACTGAAGTCAAATATTTTTTTGCCTTCTTTCTTCCTAGGTTAGAGTATGTCCTCGTCCCAATCAGAAGTTCAGTATTCTTCGCTACAACTCTGATAGAATGGACCTCTACGCTATAAGCAGCAGTGGTAATGCAAGCGAGAGAAGCAACAGTTCTTCTGGTCTTCCCGAGGTTTTCATTCAACGTGAGAACAATCTGCGCCAGTATAAAGCCTCCCATAACATCCAAGACGGTCCTAATAAGGGTGCTGGTAGTGAATTTGGTCAGGATGCCAAGGAAGAGGCTCGACTGAGACGGTTGGGTATCTCACGCCAGGGATATAGACCTGAGGATCAACCTTGGCTACTCACTGTTGGCAAGGGGAGAACGGCGAAGCGATATCGGGGAGTGAAAGAGGGTAGTGTCTCGGCTAATGTGGGACACTTTATCTTCTGTCAGAATGGAGATGGAAGCTTTAATGCCTACCCTGTAGACG